AAAGGAGAAGAAAGTGCATGGTGGAGTGGGCCACGAGAGTGCTTCTCTCAACTTAAGGTTTATATATTAAAGCACTTTGATGGACAGGTCATATTTCCTCACAAATAAAACTGTGCAGTTATCTTCTAGTGCCTGTGAAGGGAGTAGATCGAGGAAGAAAGAAGAGCATTAACTGACCCACTTAGGAGCCAAATTTCTGGCTTCCCAGAAGGGATTAGACTTCCAAGAATGAAACAAAGGATGTCTTACAGTGATCTCTGAGTGCTGCACATCCAAAGAAGCCCTACCTAAATTGAACTGTTCTGATTTTATGTCCAAGTGCACCTTCTGGGTCTCCTTTGGGTGTTTCTGATATACTTTACCATGAGATCCTTGAGGAGTCATTTCCTGAGTGACTAACCATGTCCCTTTTGACTCCTGTCAGAATCGTCTTTCAGATTGTCTATCAGGTAAATTCCTCAGCTCCCGCTAGCTAAATTATCTTATGGATTTTCATGGCTATTGCTATGCTCTACTCTCTTTTCTAGTTTATTCTCCAGATAAATCTTTGCTGCACTTCTCATGAAGAAGCTTCTTAAGTTCCTCCATATAGTCTTCCTAAGAATCTTGCTGCTTCTGCCCTAAAACAAATAGGGCAGGGAGAGCCCATGTTTGTTCTGTAGTTTAGCTGTGCATGATGGTTTTTTCTGAGGTTTTATGAGAGCCAGAGACTCTTAAGTCTTGCTGACCTGATACCTCTGACAATGACTGAGCCTCTTTTGAAAGAAGTACTCCAGTTTCTTCTAAATCTCCTTCCTTACAGGGAAATGTATGGGAAAGACATATATTAGCAGATAAGCTTGGTGTATGGGGGATAATTTGTCTGGTAGACTAAAGGCTTTCTGAGGATTCTGGATCACAGAAAGTGATCCTCATGAATTTCTTTCTATTTCTATGATAGTTGCCATTCCAGATGTTGAATTTCAGTTGTGTAGTATTCTTCTTCATTCTGAGCTCCAAGGAGAAAAACTCTAAAATGCTGAATGGATTGGGATAGATGAGAGAGTGAAATACAGGATTGAAGGAGTGTCTGTAGACCAAGTACTTAAGCTTGATGCAGAAGCTGTGGTAGCGATATATTCTGAGCAAGAACTAAAGCTAGAGCTTAGAGTAAGGCAGAGATGGGGCTGACAAAGTATCATGAGGTCATTTAGCTTGTACTGCGAGTGGGGGAGCATTAGATATTGAATAAGGCAACAAGAGACATTACTTACCAAGGAGTAGGTCAGAAGCCACACCAAGAACTTGCTATACAGAAAGAAATTTATCCTTTAATTTCTGCTATTCACGGTTTCCAAAATCTTGGGATCTGAGTTACTGAGGACCATGCACCTGCTCTGGTTTTCCCAAAGTTCTCCAGAAAGTTTGGTGGCTGTGATGTCCAACTCATTGGAAATGACTCTAAATTATTCCAAGAATAACTGAGTGCCCTTCGTTGTTTTGCAAATGATTCTTTCTTCCATTATTTCCCCTTCAAAATTTGAAAACCTATTATCTTTATCAATGTGTTCTCAGGGGCCACTGGACATCAGAATAAGGAAAAAGAAGCCATTCACTTTGATATTCCTGACTGTAGCATTACTCCAGGGGGAACTCTTAGACAGACAAAACAAGAAACCAATGTTCACAATTACAGTACGTGCAAATGAGGACGGACAAGTTCTTGCAGAAGTCTTAGTGGCACAGAAAAGGCACTAGTGGCACAGAAAAAGAAAATCTAACAGGGGCACCCTGGAGAAAAGCTTTTTTTTTTTTTGGTACTGGGACTTGAACTCGGGTCCTTGCACTTGCACAGCAGGCAGTGAAACCACTGAGCTAAATCCACGGCCCAAAATAAGCTTTTAAGTACAGTGCCAACAGGGTTAGACTAAAGGCAGTTTGAGTTAAGCACGTGGATGGTAGCAGAGAGCACTATAATGGAAGTTGAAAAGAAAATGAGTCAGTCAGACTTGAGTGATGGGTCAGACTGGGGAAAGTTACAATGATGAGTCAGGGGAAGAGGGGAGTATAAAAACAAGGTGGTTTGTTTGGGCAGTCTCATGCAGTACCTCAAAGAGCTCTGGAGGTATAAGATGCTCTATTGAAATATGAGCTCTAGTGTCAAAATGGGCCCTGAAGCAGAAAGGTACCCATGAAGCATGAATAAAAGAGAAATGAAGGGACTGGGCCTGTGGCATAATAAAAATGCATTTTGTCTTTGTTCCCAGTTCCTGGCATAGAATTCTTAATACCCTAGGAGGAATCTCTTGAGTAAGATGAGTGTCTTTTATGTGCTAACAAGATGACTCATAGAGAGGGGATCTAGAAAGCTGCAAGTTAGGGGAGGGGAGCAGTCAATGAAAGACCAAATCATGACTAAGGGTTGGACCTTCTACCTCCTTTCCCGAAATCTACCTCAGATCTCTGGGAAAGAAAAGGACTGGAGATTGAGTGCAATCACCATTTATCAAGGCTTTAATCAATCATGCCTGTGTAAGGATAGCCTCCAATCCCAACCCCAACCACTGTGTCCTGAGATCTTCCAGGCTGATGAACACATTGATGAATGTCTTGAGATCACATGGAAACTGTGTGCCTTTCCCCACCACCATTCCTCACTCTGCGCATCTCTTCTATTTGGTTGTTTCTAACTTATCCTCTATAACAAACCAGTAGATATATGTAAAATGTTTTCTGGGGCCTGAGGAAACCCCTGACTTGTACCCAGTGAGTCAGAAGTATGGGTGGACGGTAAGATTGGCTATTGACATCTGTAGTGCAGGCAGCATTGTGAAAGTGAGCCCTTTACCTGTGTTGGCTAGTACTAACTCTGGAAGGGAGTATCTAAACTGAATTGAATTGTTGGACATCCAATGGGTGTCAGAAAATTGGAAAATTGGTATAAGAAATCTCCACTCGGGGTCTATGAGAGGGCAGAAGACAGAAGTAAACAAGCCAGAGTTACAAACAACTCAGGCAGCGGAACTATAAAAGCCAAAGTTACACAGAGCACCTTGCACTGGCTTCCCAGGAGCACGTTAGCTTTGCTGGACAGCTTTGACCCTCCTCACAGTGGCAGAATTGCAAGGTGTCTTGCAAATATTGTGCAAAGCTCCCTCACAGAAAGCTTGCCTATCTGGCTGCATGACATGAGTGGACAGGCTGGAGAAGGGCAGAAGATCTGTCCTGCCTGTCTGTAAGAGGTAAATGCCCTCCTGTGGCTCAGAAAATGACGCTTCAAAAGAACAGCTCCTTGGCATACTGAATTAAAGGACCCTGGCAGAGCCTCAGAAGCAGTCTGACCTCTTCCTGGCCTATTTTCTCCTGCTCACCCACAGGCAAGCCATGGAAAGTAGGACCCCACTTCCCCAAGGCCAGTCATAATATCTAAAAGTATTACTCTAACACCCTCTCCACACACAACACACACACACTTTCTCTTCTCTGCAAGAGCTGGCAACAAGGAAACTCCCTGACCCATCTGTCTGGTAGTAAGTAGATTATAAGACCCTCTTGGCAGACAGGGTCCTGTCCTATCCTGGAAGGAAGTAATGTCAAAGAGACCAAGGCAAATCTGAGCAGACAGGCCTTGCTGAATTTCCTCAGTCTATTACTATTAGATCATGTCCTTTGTGCAATCACATTTCTACACAGCTGCCCGTTTATGCTGCATCTAACCTAAGCACAAAAACAATTTTCTCTGAGTCCCTTCTAGTATCCCCCCAAAACACCACTTTCATGCAAAGGCCTCATTAAACAATTTCTCCTTTGTTAAAGATACCACATGGCTGACAACAGGGAGAGGTAATATCCAGTCCCACAAAGGAATAATCTAATAACTTCACAGCAATTACTTTTTTCCAAGTCCCTCTGCCAATGAGAGATCACAGTTCTTTCTCCCCTGCCTATGCAGCCCCCCACCCTGTTATCCTGCTCTTCTCTCTCCTACATTTTATACTCACCGTGTGTGTGTGTGTGTGTGTGTGTGTTGCTGGAGACTGAACCTAGGGCCTCACATATACTAGACAAACGCTCTGCTGCTGAGCTACAACCTCAGCCCTATATTTTCCTTTTTAATGGATCAAATCTGCTCTCCCAAACCCATTCCCCAATATGTACACTTGAATACGCCCTGATTTGGAGAACTGTGAGTCTTTTCCATAGTTTCACTATGTAGTTTAAGCTGGTCTTGAACTCACAATGTAGCTCAGCTTGAATTTGTGGAGAACCTTCTGCCTCAGCCTCCCAAGTGTTGGGATTACAGACATGAGCCACCATACCCAGCTCTTTTAAAGTGACTTTAAAACAATATTTTACTTCTACATCCCAAGCTGGAAATTTCTTAAGGGGAAAAGGAAGCATAAATAAATGTTAAGTGATTGTTAGTAATTCTGCTGGTCATTTTAAAACTATTATATGTATGTATGACATATTTTTATTACACAGTTTATGTAATTAAGGATTTACTGTTTTCAAATGTAATATCTTAAAATATAATTTTAAATATTATGTAATTATATACGTAGGCACATATATATATATCCCAAAATATAGTTAAACAAATAAATGATTACGTCAATGTCACTAAAAACTAAGCTTTTTCATTTCAGACAAAGGAAAAAGAAACATAGAGAAACCCAAAATATAAATAAATTAAGTACAACATAAAACGTAATAAGAAACAAAATCTTTTGCAAAAGGGAAGGTGAGGGAAGAGGAGGGGAAGGGGATGAAAAAAGAATTAAGATGTGTTATGAACATGTACCAACTCTCCACGTTGAATATAATCATTTTGTACTCCAAACATGGGCGGATAAAAGTTTTTAAAAAGCAAAATATGGTAAGTGAAAATCCTAGTAGTTTTGATTTGAATTGGCATAGTTAATATAAATTAATGATTAGAAATGTCAACATGAACTCAAGATTTTTGAAATGCACATTTTCTCCCACTACCGTCTGAAAAGCCCAGGACCAGTGACAACCTGCTCCACGTTGTCAGCGCTTCTGGAAACGTCGCTCTAGGACAGTTCAGGATGAGGCTGGAATACGTGGTTATGTCTCAAACTTGGGGAGGCAGGAGAGAAGGGGAAATTTCTGTAGAGACCTGGAAAGGGAAGAGAAACGTACTATAAGGAAAAGGTATGGCAGGAAAAAGCAAGCGCGCTGAAGCAGCTCTCACTGTCCAGGGCTGCAGAGGGGATAAAGGAAGAGACGCGGGGAGAGGCTGGACAGAGCCTTGCATACAAGCCCCAGGGGACTGGGTTTCGTCCACCGGACAAAGCAAGTCCCCCCTTGTCTAGGGCTCCGCACAAATCACACTCACTCACTCCACCTCCCGCACAGAGGCGCTGGGAGAATGTCCGGCAGCCTGGGGACCCAAAGCGGGACAGGCCAAAGTCTGCAGAGCGTCAGGGCCCCGACGACTTCAAGGGCTTACTTACTATTGACACTCGTCCCGAACCCGTCTCCCAGACTCTCTCGAGGACAGGATTCGCCACTTCCCACTCCCGCCCTCATTGGTCAACAACTGTTAGTCACAGTAGTTGTTAGCGGCAACGGAGGCGGGCGCAGTCTTGGTCGATAGGATTCACTCCGCACTTCCGTTTCCTTTCCCCTATTGTAGACTCCGGGAAGCCAATCTCATTCGTTTGACCAATGGTAAACGGACAGTAGGCGGGACTTCACGTGTCTGGACCAAAGAAACGCGGTCTTTTCGCCGAACAGCCCCTGTAAAGTGGCTCAGGCGCCCCCAAGGCCGCCTTTCCTCCTCCCCGCTCTGCCCCTCCCTACCCCCGTTCGAGCACAGCGCTGGCCGCAGTCTGACGGGAACTGGACGGAGCCAAGATGGCGGCGGCCGACGGCGATGACTCGCTCTACCCCATTGCGGTGCTCATAGATGAGCTCCGCAACGAGGATGTTCAGGTGCGGAGGCCACGGGCTACCTCTGAAGGACGGGGAAGAGGGGCACGGGGGGCTCCTGCGGCCCTCGCCGAGAGGGCTCGGCGTTCGCTGAGAGTGGCGGAAGGGACAACGACCAGTCAGCGTCCAGTGCTTATCTTTCCAGGTCGCTAGACTCCATGAGACGACGCCCCGGATTGGATATTGGTTCAGCGGAGGGCGGGAGCAGGGCGAGCCTCGGGGGGTTCCGATCCCGCCAAGTGCGCGGCCTTGGGGAGCTGGGTCCGGGGTCGGGGTGGGGTTGGACGGGCGAGAGGGCAGCGGAGGGCTCGGAAGTTGGCGGGGGCTCCGAGTGGCCCCTGGCGGGTAGGCGGGCGAGTGACTTACTCCGAGTTGGGGAGAGGCCACTTGATTGGTGGGGACCCAGATTGGTGCTGGATTTTTTTGCGTCTTTGCCCCTGGGCTCTGTGGGGACCGAGAGGCGAGGGCTGCCATCCGGATCCTACTTTCCATCCGCCTATAATTTTTGTGTAGATTCCACACGAGGAGGGGACGTGAAAACTCCGCTCTTGAGGGGAGAACTGGCCAAATTTAGGGGTGAATTATGCTGAAAACACACACACACACACACACCCACACACACACCCCGTTTGCTAAGCGGGCCGGCATTTTTGGTGATGGCATTTGGCGGCCCGGGCTCCCTGAACCGGGCTGGCTGGTGGTGTGGGTTTGAAAGGAGTTCAGACTGCAGGTCCATCACCCACCTGCCGTGTGACCTTGAGCTCCTTATTTCACTGCTCTGGCCGTCTGTTTTCCATGAAATGTGGACTAAGAATAGTCTCAGCTTCACTGGGTGGGGTGAGGAACAGAACAAGTAAAATAGAACGGTGTCTGGCCACATGTAAGGGCCCAAAAAATGTCACGTGTAATTGGGAGTGACGATTGAAAAGGTCCCATCCTTCTTTAGGCCTCAGTTTCTCTCTTTATAAAATTGTCTGGGGCACACTTGTAAACCTGCTGAGCTGGGGCCCCGCCTTCTGGTTTCTGAATATGACTTGGGCTCTCATCTCAGACTGGTTGCAGTTGTGTTCCTGGCTCTTCAACTTCTTGTTGATTGACATGGGCACGTTATTTCTTTAAGCCTGCCCTCCTCAAATGGGGATAATTACGTAGTTCGTAGGACCATTGTGTGAATTCATTTGTCCAGTTAACACCTGCCATGTATTGGGTATAGTGTTGGGGAAGTAGGGATGACAGATAAACAGTGCTAAATATGTAGTGTTAACACCTGTAAGAAGTGCTGGGAAGGAAACAAATGGGATGTTGTGACAGTAAACGAGCAAATACTTATTAGGCCCTGGCGCCCTGTCCTAGGCACTGGTATGTAGCAGGGAACAAGACAGACAAAGCTCCTGACCCTGGGGGATTTACCATGTGGTGAGGGGAGACAGAAAATAAACAAGACATTGGGTAAAATATATACCGAGAGAGAAATAAAGTTAGGGAGGAAAATAAAGAAGGGGCAACACAGTTGTAGTTCTAGAGGTCAGAGATCTTGTGGGTCTCACAGAGCTAAAATCAAGGCCTGAGGAAGACTGAGTTCCTTTCTGGATGGAGGGTCTAGGAGGAGAATCCGTTTCCCTGCCTTTTCCAGCCCTTAGAAGCCTCCACATTCTTTGGTCCGTGGCTCCTTTCTCTACCTTCAAAGCCAGCAGTGCTGTTGCATCTGTTTTTTCTAGTTACATTTCCTGAGCAGTCTGGAAAGGCGCTCTGATTTTTAAGGATCCATGTAATTAATTTGGACCCAATAGAGAAGCATCACTCCTCATCTAAAGTCCTTCCTTAACCGATTTGCTTCGCCATGTAAAGTAGATATTCACAGGTTCTGGGATGAGGATATGCATATCTTTGTAGGCATCAGTACAATCACAGGTGCTGTGGTTGGAAAGTAGAGACTGAAGAGGAAAGTTACAGGCAGTCGAGGATAGTGAAGTGTTTTGTTTTACTTTAATGTGACTTTTTGTTTATTGTATTGCTTGTAATTTTACTGCATTGAGGTCAGTGAAGGAGCGCTTACTCCACAAATATTTAAGGAGAGCCTAGGTATGCTAAGCATTGATCTGGGTGAACGGGCAATGACAGTGCACCATCGGCAACAGCCTGCCCCTGCGTAACTCACTTTCTTGTGCAGACACAATCTGGATGGCAGGTGGTGGAAGGAGCTCTGGAGAAACATGAGGCAGGGATGGGTCCAGCAAGACTGGCGAGTGTGCCAGTTTGAGATAGGGTGTTCACTGAAGCCCTTACTGAGGAGGTGACATTCAAGCAGAGAGAAGGGAGAGGTCCATGTGAATGACTGGCGAATAGCATTCCATGCAGAGGAAATAAGTGTAAAGGTCCAAAGGCAGGATTATATAATGTGGATTCTGGAAATGGGAGGAAGGTCACCGGAGCCAAGGGAACGAGTTGTTTATAATGGGAAATGATATTGAAGAGGAAGCCAAGGCTGGACCTTCTCAGCCATTGTTCTGACCAGTGATTGGTAAACAGCTGCCTGACCTATGCTAGCTTTTTAAATAAAGTTGGGTTTTTGTTTTTGTTTTGCAGCTGCTGCTCTTGTGCTACAAAGCAGCTTAGACTTGAGTAGTTTTAACTGAATGATATGGCCCTCAAAATCCCAAAGTATTTATTATCTGGCATTTTGTTTCTTCTATCCCCCTTTCTCCCAAGAGGGCAATTCCTGACTTAAACCATCTGTGTCGAATTATTGGGTTCTTGCTGTATACAAGGTGCTGTACAAAAGCATAAATTTTATTCCCTTAATGAATTCTTACAACTTTGAAGGAGGTTCTGTGTTTCGCTACACTTTTCCAGACGAAGAAACTGCAGTGCAATAAGAGTAAACTTAGCCAGGGCCTTGATGCTGAGATGTGAAGGAGCCAGGAAAGAAAATCAGAGAAAGTAGTATCTGAGGATGCAATAGAGTTTGGGGTGGGACAAACACTTACCGACTATACCCATATGCCAGATATTTCAATCGTGTCTTTAATGAGACTGTTGAGAATACTAGAGAGAACGTGAGCTATGAGATTCCATAGTTGCAGTGTATTTATTCAGCAAATATTGATTCAATACCTCCTATGTGCCAGACTCTTTTTTAGACCTTAGATAAAGATAGGGAGCAAAACAGCATAGCTGCTGCCCTCATGGAGTTTATACTCTTGTAAGAGAGACAGTAAGTAGATCTACAATGTGACGTCAGTGGTGGTGATTGTAAAGAAGAAAAACAAGGCAGCAACAAGAGAATAGGGCAAGCCTTGGGCTTCTGTCTTAGGAGGTTAGGGATGACTCCCCTGAGGAAGGGATGTTGAACAAGCTGGGGAGATCAGTACAGGGAAAGGAAAGAGTGGATACAAAGATGCATGGTACTATGCTTGATGTCCTCAGGAGCGAAAAAGGGCCATGTAGCTGAAGCAGGGTAAATGGCAAAGTGGTGGGAGGTGAGTACTGGATGAGACCAGGTTAGGTGAGGCCTGTGGGCCCTGGGTAAGGGCTTTGGTGAGACTGGGGCTAAGGGAGCCATTGCAAGGCTTTGAGCAGAGGGGCGACATGTTCTGACTTAATTCTAAAGGATCTTTTTGGCTGTCATATAGGGGATGAGCAGGAGCTGCTAGTCTGTGAGAAGCTGTAACAGTTTTGCATGTAGATATGTCAGAAGGGGCTGGTGGGAGGTGCAGGCAGGTTGGGTGTGGTGTGGTGGGTGATAAGAGAGAGCAGTCAAGGTAACTGAGGTTCGATCCCAGTCTCACCGGTTTGTACCCTGTGTACCTGGAGCAGCAGTATGTTCTTCATCTCTGGACCCAGATTCTTCACCAAAATTGACATCTGTCTGGTCGCGAAGATGCAGTACAATCAGCATGTTAAGTGGCTGCCTCAGAGTAGGCATTCAGCAAATGATGAGCTGTTTCAGTTGTCATGATAGCTGTGGTTTTATACTTGGAAAGTGAGTTAGAGGATGATGAGGAGGAGCATGGGTTTATTTCTCCACATTTTACCGTAGATTCACTAGTGCTTTCCTTGCCTAAGCTGTTCTAGCCCACACACCTGCGAGATGCAGAGGCCAGATTGCAGCATCCCGGGCAGGAGAGCCGGGACACTGTCTCCACGGTGGGAGCACTGTGGGTGGAGGCCAGTGGTGTGCAGTGTCCGACCATGCCCAGGACAGCCCTACAGCGAAGGGTCATCCGGCCCTGATGTCAGTAGTGCTGGGCTTAGGGGACCCTGTGGTGTCCTGCTGCACAGTGCTGAGTGTTTCGTACATATTAATTGAATTTTCACAGAAAGCCTCTGATATACTCATTTTCTTTCCATTGAAACTTTGTCAAATTTCACACATACACCAAAATATAGAAAATAGCACCAGACCCCCAGATACAGCATTTTTTTTTCAAAATTTTGCTTCATTTGTTTTATCTTTTCTTCCCAATTCTCTCCTCCTTTTTGCTAAAGGTTTTTAAAATAAATCCCAGGCTTTGGTCATTTTCTCCTGCATTATTCAGTACATACTTCTAACACAGTAGACATATTTTTAACAACACTTCCTTATCACACCTAACAAAATTAGTAGCAATTTCTTGGGATCGATCTAATATTCAATCCAGAATCATATTTTCCTGATTCACCAGTGTCCTTTTTACAGTTTGGTTTGGCTTAAATTGGATTCCAGATCTGGCCAGAAATCTTTACCTGAAATCCTTTCCATGTGATAGATAAGTATACCCAACCAATCTCATACCGCCTAGAAAGTGGCAAAATTATAATT